CCAATTTGCCCCTCTTGGTACTTGAAAAGCTGCTCCATCTGTGTGCTGTCTCTGCTCATCTCTGGAGGCTTCCCTCACAAATTCTCTCCCGTTTGTCCCTTTCTTCTGAAAACATGAGTTTGATGGAGGCTGGGCCTCTAGTTGCTTCTCTTATGTTCAATTTTCCATGTCTTTGTGTTTCTCTGTACTCTGGAAGGACTCCTTACTCCTTCCAGCCATTTCATCCAAGTTTGGGAATATGGGGCCTGAGGATTGCAATGACTCTTCTCTGGTCCTAGATGGTGGTGACAAGGAAGCCCCTCTAAAGCTGTTTGGTAAATGGCACATCTATTTTGCACCTTGTATCTGTAAATGTGTTTCACCACCTTTCTAAAAGTTGAAGAAACTGTTCTGTCTTGGATTACTCAGTTAACCTCAGCAACTGTGCTGCAGCCATTTCCTCAGCAAGTCTAACTCTCTCCTCTTGCTTTGCTTGCTTCTATTTTTCCTGATCCTTTGTGTTTGGTGGATATGGTTTTTCTCAAATGTCCAATGATCCTCTCTACCATTTATGTTTGTGAATAAAGGTGAGGCACTTCTCCCAAGCAACAAGATGGGTCAGTGCTGCCAAGTGAGGAAAGATGGTGTGTTGCAGGGGAGGAGGCCAGGCAGGCAGGCACTGCCTGTGCCTGCCACCCCTGCCAAGAGCTAAGCCCTTTCAGAAAGACCACCTTAGGAAGCTCCACCAGAGGCAGAGGATGGGGGCTGGTGGGTCACCAGCAGCCCAATCACAGAGGTCCTGGAGACTCTCCATGACACCTCACCACAAGTGTGACTCTGAGAAAAAAAAAAAGAAGTGTGACTCTGGCCTTCAATGAGTTTTAAAGTATGACCAGCCGGGACATGAACCAACTGCTTCCCTGTGCTTGGTTCCAATGCTGGAAGGGACTAGAATGAGGCTATTATAATGTAGCAGGGAGGAGGATCAGAAGAAAACAGTCTAGGCCTGAGTCCTGAGAAAGTAGCAGGGAGGTAGGGATGGCATAGCAGAGAGATAAAACCTGAGAAATCTGAACACGAGGAAGGTCACGGAACACCAGGGAGGGGAAAGTCACATAGCACTAGGGTAAAGTAGCCAATAAAATTAAATATAACCATATATGGATTAGACCTTGCTTTTTGCTTCTGTAACCTGCTTGCAAAGGTATATAAGGTGAGACCCCTTTGTTCTCGGGGCTCAGCCTTTGGACACCAGTCTGTGCTGGCACAATGAAATGTTGCTTCCTGCTAATTGCCTCAAGTGCTCCGTATCCAGCTAACAAACTCCCACAGCAGTCCACCAGCTACCCGCCGCACTGATGAGCTCAGTGCTGCTCTGGTGCGGGGCACTCATGTCTACTTTATCCTGAGGCTCCAGCACTGCTGAGTCCTGGCTGGAGAGTTCCCCAGCATGTTTGCAAGCATTTGCAGGCCCATGGTCATGCTGAACAAGTAAGCAGACCTGGAAATACATTTGGTGTAATGTTATCATGAATACAAACCAGTTTTCAGAAATATTTGAAAAACTTCTTGAATATTTAGGTTTGTGTAAGTTGCCTCCTCTTTTATTTTCATTTATAGAAAAGGAGAATGCTTAGACTGCATCTATATTTTACCTAATTAAACCTAACTATAATTTAGCAACACATTTTTCTGTCTCCATTTTTAGACTTGTTAATATCCACATTTGGTATAAAAACACATTTTAAAACTAGGCAGGTGGTGACATCTATGACGAGGGGGAGGAGGAGTGTTCCATTTAGTGACTTTGCAGATTGTAGCCAATGTCCTGGGGCCACACAGGTCACTCACTGTGTGTGCTGCCCCTGGTTCTGGCATTGGCAGAGGGGCTGCAGTAGCCACTGCCCCAGGGAAGAGCTGTGTGGCTTGTAACTCAGCAGCAAGGCAGGGCTGGGGTCCCAATGAGCACCGCGCCCCATCTTAGCATCTTCATTGTGGAGAGGAATCTTGTATCACAAGATCTGCCAGAGGAGACGCTGTAGTTCACAAACAGGCTGAATTCACAAGCAATGAAACCACATCCTGGGGCAGCACCAGTTCTCTCCATCAAAACATAAAGGCTTTGAAGTGGCGGGGGCTGGGGGGGGCGAGAGGGACCCTGAAGTTTTGTGCTTGCTGCACATTCCACCTCAGCAGCTGCCACTGCTCATGAGAGCCCCTCCCCACACTCCTCAGCTGTAGGACCTCCACCCTCCTGCCTTTAGATGCCTCCCAGTCTCGCAGCTCCTGTGTGCTAATGATTTACCCCACTCCACAGAGGTACCGACGTTCCATTATAGGCTGATGCTCGTATCCGCACCTCAGGGCCAGCCACCCATCCCCTCCAAGCTCCATTTCTGTCTCCCAGGAAGCTCTGACCTTCAATTTGTCTCCAAATTGCAGAAACATGCTCTGGTTGCATCTTCAAGGTGACATTTTGCTCCTTGCACCCACCTTTCTCAAACACACACACATTGATTCTGTTTCTTTGGAAAACCATAGTACAGACCAAGAAGTGGGGAGCTGCTGTGACAACTACCACCACAGGGAAGGAGATTTGTAACTGCGTAATGGACAGAAGCTGCACATTAGAAACAGGGACATTAGCACAATTCTGCTGAGGTCTCAACTGGAAACAAACATGTTATTGGAAACAGAAGCCATCCTCACTATAAAGAGGAGAGAACTTGGCTGAGCTGTGTTACAGAACGTGGAAGGCCAAACTTGCAGGTGGTAAAGGTGGATGTTTAGCCGAGGAGATTTCTAAGCAAAGTGTTAAAGGGGCTTTGGCTCCTCCTGATTGCTAAGTAAAAGAATAGAGATGAACAGTCTAAGTCATTATTAACCAAAAAGTAAACAGAACTTTTTTTTTTGGTGGTGCTTAGGTTTGAACTCTGGGTTTCATGCTTGCTAGGCAGGCGCTCTACCATTTGAGCCACTGCACCAGCCTAAACAGAACTTTAAGTTGTGAAAAATTCTCAATCTATCCATGCTGGGGAAAAAAAGATACAAGTCCTGGACTGAATCAGCTGCCTTGAAAGAAGCCAAGGAAGAGATGGGATTATACCACAGGGACCCTGTGAACTTGAACAGAGCACAGAGAAGTAGGCTGAATGACAGCAGCTGTCAGACTTGTTGGATTACACAGGGCCAAAACACTGGGCCACCTGGTCATGAACTGCAGTGCTCTTCAAAGAGAAGGAAGAATAACCTTGAAGGTGACTCAGGTTCCAGGGATGCCACTCCCAGGCCAGCTCAGGGACGTGGCCATTTCCTTCTCAGGTGCAAAGGGTGGAGTTGCCTCCCAGGCGTCTTCAGACCAAGTGGTCCTGCCTAGTAACTGTAGGGTGGGACTGCCTGGCAGTAGAGCAGCCCCAAGCCTAACCTGACGTTCCAGGGGACCTCAGGTTTCAGATTTGCTTGGGAACTGTGACCCCGTCCTTCTTTCTAATCTCACTGTATTGAAAATAGGGCTTTGTTTCCCATGGATCACTGTATATTGGAAACACATAACCAGCTGGTTTTGCAGGTTCATAGCTGGTGAATGATTTTCCTCTGAGCAAGTCATACCTAAACCTCACCCATATCTAACTTGGAGATATCAGCATGAGACTTTGGACTTTAGACTTGATGTTGTGCTGAGTTAAGACTTTGGGGTTGTTGGGCAGAGTGAATGCATTTTGAATGCAAGGACATGAATTTGGGGATCTAGGAGTGGAATGCTGTGTACTGAATTGTGTCCCCTAAATTTGTATGTTGAGCCCTAACCCCAAAGCAACTGTCCTTGGAAACTAAAGTTCAGTGAGGCCACAGAGTGAGGCCCAACCCAGAGGACCCTTACAAGGATACTTTTCTCTCCCTGCTATGTGAGGCTACAGTAAGAAGGCAGCTATAAGCTGGGAAGAGGGCCCTCAGCAGGAACCAAACTGGTCAGCACCTTGGTCTCAGACATCCATCCTCCAGAACTGAGAAATAGACTCTTGTGTTTAAAATCTTGTCTGTGGTATTTTGTACTGGACCTGAGCTGATTGATATGGATACTCTAAACCTCCCGTCAGTGCCTGAAAGAACAAGCAAACAAAATTATAAAGTAAAGATCCAACTACCTGAGCAACACAGCTCACAAATTTGCTCTGACTGACATATGCAGAGCCCTGAACTAAACAACAACAGGAGGACACATATTCTGGTCAAGTGCATTTGACACACTGAGCCGTAAAACAAGCTCTAGCAATATTCAAAGGATTGAAATCACTCAGTTTGTTCTTTGGAATTAAGTGAGATTAATAAAAGGTGACTACGCCAGGCACAGTGGCTCACACCTATAATCCTGGCTACTCAGAAGGATCACAGTTAAGGCCAGCCCAGACAAAAACAAGAGACCCCATTTGAAAAAAACAACAACAGGAAAAAGGACTGGAGGTGTGGGTCAAATGGAAGAGCACTTGCCTTGCAAGCGTAAGGCCCTGAGTTCAAAGCCAGTAACCACCCGCCCCAGAAAAAAAGGTAACTACAAAATCCCACCTTTTGAAATCAAGCCACAGACTTCTATGTGACCCATGGTACAACAAAAGACATCATAAAAGACAATTTAAAATATTCAAAGCTGCATATTAAAATATGTAAAAATCCACTGTTGCATCTAAAAAATTTTAGATGAAAACCAGAGGCTATGATGCATGTGCTTTAAAAAAGAAAGGCTGAAATCAATGATCAAAGCTTCCAAATCATATGAACCATTAAAACTTAATCTCTCCCCATCAATGACAGAAATTAATTCCAGGTGCAGTGCTGACTCAAAGATAAAGCAGTAATAGAAAATGTTATATTAGACAACATAAAATTTAAGAACTTCTGTTTTTCAAAATACTCTTAGGAGAATAAAAACCAAGCCACAAAATGGGACAAGATATTCAGAAAAGTATGTTCTGATGAAGGACTCCTAGACAGATTATGTCAAAAACATCTATAAGATCAATTAGAAGTGGATAAACAACCCAATAGTAAAATGGCATAAAACTTGGATAAGCACTTCAAAACCTAGGCTATCCCAATGACCAGTGAATACATGAAACTACCTTAGTTAGGGAAATGCCAAACCCAAGACTGAGTGTTGACCAGGACTCACAGCACTGGTCCAACCTGGCTGGGAGGGTGCAATTCCTTGACTCTGAAGACCTGGCAGTGCCTGTATGGTGTGCAGCCAAGAGAAATGCAGGCATGCACCAAGAAGCAGACCCAGAAACATTCCATTCTCACTAATCACAAGGGCTAGACACTGGGAACAACACAGATGTCACTGGTGGTAGGCTATATTATGTGAATCGTGGTGCATTCATTCATGGGAATACTGTACAATGAGAAAGTGCCCTGTACCACCTACAACTCATGATGAAGCTCACAGACTCAAGACTGACCTGAAGAAGGAGGACAAAGGAATACACAACATGCGTGTCTGTGACACAATGCTCAAAACAAGGAAGAGAGACCTACAGCTAAGTGAGGGCACCACACTTAAAGGGTACCAGTGGGGGACGTGTCTCAGCCTGGTGTGGGTCCGTGTGTGTGCAACTTGTAAGACTTCATCTCTACACTCATGATTGTTGAGCTTTCAGCAAATACATTAGATTTTAATAAAATTTTACTAGACATCAAAACAATACAAAGCCACAAATTATACATGTACAGCTACTGACATGGAAGTAAGTCTGTAACACTGAGAAAAGGTTACAAAGCAATGAGTACCACATGATCTCACGTTTGTGAGAAACAACGTACATGCATAGAAGCAGGATGGACAACACTCGTTCATTGAAAAATATTTATTGAGCATGTACTATGTCCCACAATTTACCTGGAAGACGTCTGCACACTGCAGCGCCATGCAGAACCTGTCACATGCATTGCTGCCGCCAGCCCCTGCGCCAAGCCACAGCTACTCAGCGTCTGCCTTATGCAGAGCCAGGCATAGCTCTGCACCCCACACTCTGCAGGAGTGGCTGAGCGAGGGCAGCAAGGACACCACAGACACGAGGCGTGAACGTCACGGTCACAGAAACAGAGGCTGACATGCGTACGTCTGAGGAGTCTAAAACTACACCTAGCTGGGAACATAGCCGCCACAACCACCACGGGCAGCACTGTCGGCACCACGGGGTGAACACCTGCAGACACAGCCTACACTAGCGGGACACCACTGGGGTCAAACCCAAGCACTTGTCTGGGGAGGGGTTATGGGGGGGCCCTGACATCACCTGTCAGGTGGGGAGGGGTCAGTGTGGAGCAAATGTGCACAGACTGTACAGCAGGTGTATGGGAGGCCAGGTGCACCATCATCCCCCAAGATGCGCACCATGCCTCCCAAGAAGAACTCAACCGTCATCTCCAGATGGGAAAGACTTTCTCTCCAACCTGAAAAAGAAAACAAATCAGTGAAATCATTTATTTTTGATTAACACATAGTATCTCCTAACAATTTGTCCCTGGACAACAGAACGGAACTCCACATAGACAGTGAAATGAACATGTAAACTGAACATAAAGTAAAGAGGAACCATGGGGTCATTTTTTCTTTCTCTCCCATGTTATCTTTGACTCCAGAAATGAGAGTCCCATTTTCAAGTAGCCTCTGAGACCTGTGGCCTGACACCACCAGTGTTTCTCCATCACTCTCGATCACACGTTGTGAGAAGGCCTGGCTCCACTTGGCCTTGTCTGCCCTGGCTTTTTGGAAAAGTTGGTGGTCTCCTCTCACTGACCTGTGTCACCTGAAAAAAATGACTTACTTTCTGAACTTGCAACTTCCTAGTCAGGAAAAGGAGAAACAGAGCTAGTAACAGTATCTGCTTCCTTTGTGGGGAATAAACAGTGATGTGAGAAAGGCATGGGCCTGGAGTCCTGCCAAGTGCCAGCAGCCCATGGTTATGGTGCTGTCTCCCTGAGGACCTGAACCCAAGGACAGGGCTTGCCACTGTATCTTACTTTTTGAGATGTGGGATCTTGTCTGGAAGTGACGGCCCAGCTCAGAGCAACGGACATGTGCCTTCTCCACACCGGATTTCTTTGCAATACAACGGAACCTGTGACCACATCTCCTGTGTGGACAGGGACTGGGTCGTCCATCATAAACAAGGTCTGCTTCCAGTGCGTGGTGCTGCAAGACAGGGCACGGTCACTTGCAAGGCTGTTCCAGCAGCCTTGACAGGGTCCTCGGGATGACCCAGTTCTGCTGTGCCCTGTGACCTCCTGGGATCCTGGCGACATGAGATTTGCTTTTTGGGCTAATCACAGAACAGAGACACCCCGGCCCCAGGTTCTAAACAGTCTTGATGCAACACACCAGTATCAAAGTCACAAGGAGGCAGACACACTGCTCTGATACAACATAGGGAACATTTTGGAGACGGCTCAGGTTCCAGGACAGCTCATCTGGATAGCCCACTGTATGGTGAGTCCAGGTTCATCCAGCCAGCCACACAGGGTCCCAGACTCCCCAGCCCAGAGGACAGGTGTCCACCCAGGGTCACTGTGTCCCTCTTCCTAGACTTCAGACACTTGGTCAAGCCACCGTACACATAACCAAACCAGTCCCCTGAGCAGTGACTTCTGTGAGAGGTGTGTTTAAAGTGAGCTAGACAGCTGCAATGACAGGAATCTTGGGCAGTGTCTGCCATCTCTAGCTCTTTGGACCTAACGTGCACGTGGCCACCGCTATCCAGTGGTCTTAGCCTGGGCTGTCCTCAGCCTCTGCTCATTCCTCAAACATCCTTTCTCTTCCTCTCCTGTTTTGGGAGTGGGGGTGAGAGGGCTCATTCATATGGCCTCCAACTTGCCCCGTCACCCAGTGAGAAGGCTGGACAGTACCAGGCCAGGCAAGGGTCTACACCATTTTCCCTCACCCTCTACAGCAGTGCCCATGCCCCATGCCAACGCCCCAACCCTGCCACATCTCACCACCACCCCATACCCCCTGGGGTCACTCACGGGTGCAGTGGACCCGTGCTGAGAACCTGCTGTGGCTGTCCCTCCTCCAGGCTCTGGAAGCGCACACTGAACCAGGCCGTGAAGCCGTGCAGGGTGCCGGCCTTTTGGATATCAAAGCGCAGCTCACCACGCATGGTCTGCACCCAAGCACAGGACAGCATGTTGAGGACACGGGGCCACAGATGGCCCCACTTACAGCCCAAAAAATCCTAACCCCAATCCCAACTTTTAAACCACTCTGGACCATGCAGACAGCCTTGAGCAATTCAGGTGCTGCCGCCTATGTCCACCCCAAACTCCTGTGCTGCTGGAAGCTGCATGCAAAGCACTGACTGGCCCTAACCCTAACCCTAACCACAAGAGAGACACCAGGAATTCTGTTACCAATGGTAACTAAAATCACTTGGAAGAATTTGTAATTCAATTACTACACCATGATAAACAGACTATAACATATGCAATCTTAAAGATGCCCAGAATATTAAATAATAAACCTAAAAATAACTGAGGACATTTAAAAAATTACATAAAATGTTGTAAAAAACATGGAAGAGAAAGTCAAGGTAGAACATAAAAAGAGAAAAAGTAGTAGCAAATGGAGTCTAAACTCACTTATTTGTATTATAAAATCATTCACCATATATACCCTGCCCTCACTGCAGGTCTGTGCTATGCCCAGCAGGTACCCAGTGACTCACACAAGACTGAGTGTCAGGAGGAAGCAGGCCACCCTCCTCTCACCTCTAGATCGGAGATCTGCACGGTTCTCATGTCCAACTGCAAAATGGTGCACGGTTCAGAGAGACAGTCTTCTGGCTTCAAGATGTGATTATACTTGGGCTTTGAAAAAAACTCCTTGATTGCTAAAGATCTGGTGGAAAGGCCAAAGTACAGGCTCAAGGTCGTTACAGAGACCTCAGGGTTTAAACCACCTGGCAGCAGTGGGAGCTGCAACAGCAGTGGGAGCTGCAACAGCAGTGCTCCTATCTGTGCCCTGGCCTTGAAGGAGCCCTGGGGACCAGGCCAACTGGCAGGGCCCACCCCAACTTCAGCCTTGCTGAGAGTCTCCAGGACAGTCCCCTATAGCTGACCAGTCACGCTTTCATGACATAGGTGGAGATCTGAGCACCTGGATGCCAATGATCACATGAGCAAGAAGATGGGTGCTGCCTGTGTTTGCTTCAACTTTTGAATCTTTATCTTGAGGTATCTTTTGTGGAATGCCCCGGTTATGTACCACAGAAATGTTTTTAAAACTATGCATAGTAGTAACTTCTGAAATAGCAAAGTAAATATTTTAATAAAGATTATATGTACATATTTCTAATGATAACGATAATTATGGATTTGTAAGAAACTGAGAAATAGAGAAGTATAAAGAAAAAATTTTAATTTTCTGCACTACTGCCTTATCACTTTGGTAATCAGCTTTTCTTCCCATACACATTAATGTATACTTAGGCAAAATAGGATCCATTGAGTATAAATGGTTTGATCAGGCATCTTTACTACCTCCTAGTTTCTAATTCCATTAATATTCCTAAAAATCTGTGTTGTTTTAAAACAAAATCAATATTTTTAAAAAACATCTGCAGACCCTCCATCAGATAGTTAGCTCTGTGCCTAGGACCACTACTTGTTTCCCAAGTTTTCCAGGCACCATGCAAGTGGGAGGCTCTGGCAGTGACTGGAAGTGGACATCCTGGTCCCTCTAACACCCTGGCCCCTTGCTCTACAGCCCTAGTCTCTAGCTCCATGGTCCCGGTCCCTAGTTCCGTGGTCCTGGTCCCTCACTCCACAGCTTCCCTCTGCATACTGCAGCACACAGATAGCTGCTGCCTGGTAAGCACAGGGGATTTTAATCTTTGCTCGTATGGTAGGCAAAAAGTGCATTTATTTTCATTTTAATTACAAATAACAATTATTCAAGTATTTATTGGTAATTGTATTGATTTTTGCTTCCTGCTTGTTCAAGTGATTGGCTAAAATCTCATGCAGATATTTGCGTTTTTCTAATGGATTCTAAGACTGGTCAGCAAGGATCTCTCCCTAATTAGTTACTGTTTTATGACTGAGGTTTTGCTGATTTCTGGCACATTGATTCCATTCGACTTTATAAACTCTAATCCAGGGTCTCCAGGGTCTGTGTAGCCCTTGATTTCTGGTGATTTCCTCTCCAGCTAGGATCTGACACAGGCCCCAGAGATTCCTGCAGTGGAGGTTGCTCTCTAACACAAAACTCTTAAATCCATGAGGAACTAAGTTGTAGCATCTTGTGTGAGAGAAGGAAGGCCTAATCAATGTCCTGAGAATGTGTGACTCAGCCCTTGGCCCTCCTCACTTGGAAGCCACCTCTGTCCCCTGATTCCTTCCCAGGCCCTGCCTCTCTTTTCCTGCTCTGCCAGGGTATCATTACTCACTACAGCACCACACAGATTGTGACATCTGGCAGCAGAAGTGCCACCTAACCCTTCCAACCCCTTTTCCCACAGGAACTACAGGACCACATTGTAGGGGCATTCCTCTCTATTCTTTTTGGGATTCTGAGTGAGAGAGCAGTAATTCTTTTAACAGAGGAAGGTTTCACAACTTTATATTACTTTGTTCTTTTTTAAAAATTTTTTTTAATTAAAAGAAAAGAAAGAGTTGCAGCCTACTGCCCCCCTGCAGTGACATCAGGGCCTGGGGTGATCAGTCCCTCACTGCAGGACCTGGAGTTTCTGTACTTTCTAGTGAGTGGGCCCCCGCCCCCCCACTTTCCTAAGCTCCACACTGCTCTCAGAAGGGGAAGGAGCTGGCTCACCACACTTTCCCAGCAGAACAGCTTAAAAGGCTAATGCCTCATCAGGAAATCACTTGTGATAGATTACCCGGCTCAAATGTACAGGTGTGTCCACTAGGGTCAACTGTACAGGTGTGTCCACTAGTCTCAACGACTTTGGAGTATTCCTTCCTTTGCAAAACACCAAAACCAGCACCAACACATTGCCTGACGATCATTAAAAATTTACAGTTCTTATTAGGAATAAACATTTGTGTTTTAGGGTTGGATGTGGTGGCTCACAACTGTACTCCCAGCTACTTGGGAGACAGAGATCAGGAGGATCAATAATCAAGGTCAGTCACAGCAAAAACTTAGTGAGGCCTCATCTCAACCAACAAAGCATAATGAAGGCACCTGTAATCCCAGATATGTGGGAAGCATAGGTAGGAAGAACAAGGTCCAATGCAGGGTCCAGGCAAAAAAATGCAAGACACTATCTGAAAAATAAGTAAAGCAAAAAGGGCTGGAGGCATGGCTCAACTAGTAGAGGGCCTGCCTCCCAAGCACAAGGCCCTGAGGTCAAACCACACTACCACAAAAAAAAAAAAAAAGTTTTACTTCAACACTGCATACATTTATACATTTTTTTGTCCTCATTTTTAAACATGACATTCTCATAACATTTGGGAATGTTGATTGAAAGAGTGGATCCCACCTCTTCTATAAATAAACCTGCAAAATTCTGAGGCTCTGGGAGTTTGGCTAAAGGCCCGTTCTACAGGAGAGCCTAGTTGGGGAAGAGGGACTCCTAGGCTTCAGGGTCTGCCCAGGGCAGCCCAGTTCCCTGGGGGGATTGTACCCTATGTTCTTCTCATACTGTTTATTCCCTCCACAGAGTAGCCATCTTAGTAATCAGTTAAGCAGGCCAGAGAGGGCAGAGGAAGATGTGATGGGGAAAATCTTCACTAGGTTCCCTAGGTCACTGTGTGTATGAGAGACGACTTTCTCAAAATGAGAGCAATTGTGCTTCCCAGAGGATTAACCATACTGCCTCTAGAGGCAGAGATACCTATAGAACTGTGAAGGCCATTCAGCCAGTCCCCACACCATCCCTCCTGCAGAGCCTGGCAGACCATGCCCATGTGTCTGGCGTCACACTTACTTGAGCGCACTGAGATTGAACTCGTAGGCATTGTCCCAGAAGAGCACCTTGCTGTGGTAGTCCTTGTCCGCGCTGCAGGGCACCAGGTACAGTGCAGCCGTAGTTGGCCAGATGACCCCATCCTCCTTCAGCCATGTGTCCCGGGCATACAGGATGGACTCGATCATGAACTCAAACTGTACAGGAAGAAAAGATACACAGGAACAAGTCACTAGGTCTCATCACATCATGGTCAGAATGATACAGCTAGTCAGACATCTCAGCAAGGTCATGGAATCACACATGAGCAGTGCAGGGTTACTGTGCACCCACAGAGCAAAGTCACACATGTGAGCCATGGCCCGGATGCAAGTCATGTCACTTTCTGTTGAACTGGGAGGTTCTCATGCTCACCCACCAGCACGTGGGAGGGAGTCCCACTGCTGCAGGGCTCTCACAAAATTAGCTGCCCTGCGGCATTCCCAGAATTTCTACAACCAGCAACATGTCATCAATGTTTACCTAACATTATTAACAATCCTTCTAAAACACAATTTTAATGATATGAATTACCATTAATTGTTTCTATTATTTGCAATTTCCTTCCATTTGGATAAAATGGATAGAATGTTGTCATGAACATTTTTTGAGTTGTTTTTGACAGGACTGAGGTTTGAACTCCCTTGAATCACGCCCCCAGCTCTTTTTTTTCTTTTGATCCAGGTTCTGGCTATGGAGCCAAAGCTCTCCTCAAATTCCTAATTTTCCTGCCTCAACCTACTGAGTGCTGGGATTATAAGCACGTCATGAACATGGGCAGAGGAGGTGGTAATGGTAGCTGAACTCAGGGCTTGGCGCTTGCTAGGCAGGAGCCATGCCTCCGGTCCTTGCTTTGGGTATTTTTGAGATAGGGTATTGCTTTATGCTTAGGCTGGATCATGGCTGAGATGACAGGTATGAGCCACCACACCCAACTTTTATTGGCTGAAATGTGGTCTTTCAAACTTTTTGCCTAGGGTGGCTTCAAAATGCAATCCTCCCAATCTCTACCGACAGAGCAGTTAGGATTACAGGCTTGAACAACTGCATCCAACCTGTCATGAGCATTTTTAAACACAGATTTCTGTACAAATCTAATTGTTTTCCTTGTGGCCAGAAAAGCCCTGGACAGCCCACAGGCAGATCCCATCATACCCTCCTACGGCCTGCTGCAGGGCCCAGCCTTATAACTATCACTGTTGAAGACCCCGACCTCCCCCAGACACCTCCAGACACTAACCTCTCCCAGGCCCCGACCTCCCCCAGACACTCACCTCCCCCAGGCCCTGATGTCCCCCAGACACCACCTTCTCCAGGCTCTGACTGCTCTCCTAGACTCAGCATGTGGCTATAAACGAAGTTCCATCACAGCCTCATTCTGATTCACAGGATGCAGGGCCATGTCTTCCTGATCAAAGAGTTGGTAGGAACCTGGATCCACTCCCCTGGACCTCCGGACGTCTCCTCCTCCTCGCCTCCCTTGCTTCTCATGTCTGCCAGCTCATCAGAGCTGGACCCACCAGCAGCCATGCCTCCCCCACTGAGCAAGCACCACACAGGGCCAAGTGTCCACACAGGCTCATTTTTGGTCTGTCCTCTTTTCATCCCCACAGCTGGCACAGCAGCAGGAACTGAAAGAATTTACAGTGGTCTTGGGGGCTAAGACTGACAGCTACTTCATGGATACAAGGCATAGTCCCTTTTCCTGTGTCTTCCTACAAACCCACAAATGTTATTGATAAGCCACCATATATCCTAAGCCTACCAACACTTACTTGCTGACAACCTAACTCCAAAGGCCTAAAGTCCTCTGTTGGTATTTTCCTCAATCTGTGCACCCATAAGCCACTGGGCAACACTCAACAGCCACTTATATTGGAAGCATGAGTTACGTTCTATTCCCTTTCACCCAGGTGTAATTTTTCTACAGAGATTAGATTTCAGGCTAATGTACTACACTAAATGTGCAAAAGTGGGCTGGGTGGACAGTGTGCTCTCCCCTTCTCCCCACATATACAGTCCTCCAAGCTGGCAGGGTAAGTGACAAGGTATATGCAGGGTAACCAGGTCAATCCACCTCCACCTGTGAGTGAGGCCCAGGGAGCATGACAGCCATGCACACGAGTGAGGCACAGGAGGGTTTCATAGATGCTGTGATATTTGAGCAGCAGCTCAAATATCTAAGGCAAGTGGTGCCATAGAGACAAAGACACTGCTGACTGAAGAAACAGCCTCTTCATAAGGCTGGACTTCCCCAGTATTGGGAGGAGAATCATTCTTAAATTGAAGAAAATCAAATTTAAATCATTCTTAAATTTCACACAAAGTTACTTTTTTATGATCAGTTAAAAATTCAAGGCACTAGGTCAGTGTTCATACAAGAAATTAATTACACTTTGCCTTAGGAAAAAAGTCAAAATTAATCATGATTTTTGAAGATTCTAGAGACAGGCCCAGGGTGCCAGGTCTAGAAGCACCGAGGCCCCACTAACCCAAGTCAGTCACAGGCCTGGCCTTACCAGCAGGCAGGTCCCCATCCACTCAGACACCAGCACATCCACCTTCTCAGGCAGCACCACATCCTCCACCTTCTGCTGGAACACGGTAATGGTGTCAGCAAAGCCGTTCTGCAGGACTAGCTGGCCTGTGTGTTGTGCCATCTCGCTGGCCTCCACAGCATACACCTGCAGCAGCAAGGACACCATCAACCACATCTCAACACTGCAGCAGCCTGTGGCCTCTACTCTCCTTAGTCAGTCAATATTAGGAACGATGACAAAAGAATGCACAGGCCAAGCCACACGGCACCCTCATGACCTTGGATGGCACCCCAACGAAGGTGCTGTCACTGATCCTGCTTCCTTTCTGCACCTTCTGCACATGATGTAGGTGAGGCTGTAGGTAAACAGAGCCTCACCCCTCAGATGGCTTCCACACACAGTAAGCACTACCTGTAACCACACAGCAGACACCTAGCACCACCAAGCAACAGGTCTATTATAACCTGTGGCTTGGGAAAACCAGATCCCAGTTCTCAGGGGAGGGTCTGGAGAAGGGCCTGAGTGTTAGCTCTGGCCCAGACCCTGACCTGGCAGCATCTGGGTACAGTGATCACTGCACTGTAAACCAGTATGTTGTCCACTGTGTCCAGCTGTCATGAGGCCACAGTGCAGCTCAGCAGAGACATGCATTCAAGGGGAAGAAAGAAGGCACCAGGGAGTGAGAGGCCTGTGCTGGGGTGATGCATGGACATGCCTTTTTCTATACTGAATTGAAAGAACACCTGATGCTCACAGCCAGTAAAGAGCATCACAGCCTAGGCCACAGCTGGCCAGCTGCTTGATTCCCCAACAAGAGCCTCGCTCATGAGGACACACTGAGGCCAAGAAGTCATCCCGAGAGCCAGAAGTGCAGCAGCCACCTGGCACCCAGACACTACATCAGACATAGATGCTGCAGCCTGACTCACCGCCTTGGGCCGTGCGTGATGCGCACAGAAAAGGCTGATGATCCCAGTCCCGCAGCCCACATCCAGGATGACCTTGTCCTTCAAGGACTCCTTGTTCTGCAGGATGACACTGTGGTATTTTGTTGTCCGAGGTTGGTCTGCCAACATTTCCAAATGAAGTTTCTAGACAAAACACATCAAGAATTACCACAAGGGCCTGCGGCTATGCAAAGGTGTGGACTGCAGAGGAGGGTCAGGGCCACAGCTCACACCCCAACCTCACTCTAAAAGTATAAGCAACAAATAGATTTAAAAGTGAAACGATAAAACAAGCCAGTGAGAGTGGACAGTGAAGGAAAGAAACAGTTTTTGAAATCTTTCCAGTTTAGTACAGCGCCACCTGCAGCTTTTCCCTGAGAAAAGCACAGTGAGTAGAGAACAGGTGTGGACCACTCAGACATCCATCCCCCTTCTTCTTTCAGGGGAGGATAGACCCATGCATCTCCACAAGGCATCCCCACGAGGTATCCGAGAGAAAACACTGAACACATCACAGAAGAGATGCATGCGGGGAGGGCGGGGCAACAGGGGCCCCACAGGCCTCTTCACGCATTAGTTTGTCTCTTAGTTGCTTGCAAGGGCCAAGACCATAGCTTGGTGGAAGTAAAGCCCTCTCTGGCTCCAGACATGTCCTGAGGTAGGAAAACACCTGATCCCAAGGAAGCAGAGAAAGGTCCCTTCAGGGACTGGCAGAGCCCTAGCCTGCAGAAGATGGCACCACCTAGCGGGCTCATGCTATGAAACCAGCTGAAAAGCCACTGGGGAGAGACCACAGCCAGGAGGGTAAGGCAGAGGTCTGGACGCTCTCACAAGACACTGCTATAGAATGGAAACAAAGGACTGGACCCTACCTCACCTACAAGAAACCCACGTTAAATATAAAGACACGCAGGGGAAACACAAAAGAATGGAAAAGGTGTATCATGCTAACACCAATCGGGGAGAGTTGGAGCTGTCGCATGGGCACCAGACAAGACATTTCAGAGCAAAAAATGTTCCAGAAATGAAGAGTCAGTTCACAGCAACAAAGGAGTCAATTCATCAAAAGGGCATCAAATTCTCAATATTTTTGTAGCTAATAGCAAAGCTCCAAAATACACAGAGCAAAACTAACAGAAACAGATAGACTTGTGGTTAGGTCAGAGCTCCTAATGCCCTTCTTTCAGTAGCTGGCCAGTAGACAGAACCCCAGGAAGCCATGGAAACCTACATACAACCATGTATAGGGGTCTCCTCCCAGCCATCAACCAACACAGAACCAAAATGGCCAGGAGTAAACTTGACAAGAAAGTGTATGACATGGTAAAAGGCCTGTGCACCACAAAGGGGGTCAACACCAGAGATACCACTTGTCCCTAACCACTTATCAACCCAGGCAGTACCAATCTGCCATGGGGGCAGCACAAATGACGATGAACGACTCCAAAGCCACAGCACCTGAGGCTGCTACAACAGTGCTGAGGGAGATGCACAACCACACAGAAGGTTCCAGAAACATCCCAGCCTTTTCCCACAGCCAGAACTGGGACACGGGGTATTTGTGGGAGACTACAGCCGAAGATTGCCTTATTCTTCACAAGCCAACTCCACACTGCCGCAAGTGTTTTGCTGTTTAAAACAAAATCATTAACCCTTCTAACAGAGCACAAGCACTGTTGCATTGCTGAGGGAAAGTTCAGTGCCAGCACCATCTGTTGGGAGGGGGGATGACTGCAGACTTTGGCAGTCATTGTGTACCTTTCCTTAATGGGCTGAAAGCTCTAACATTGTACATACATAGTGATTTTTACTTTAACATTTTAAATTTTGAAACACAGTTTATTAAGCCAAGTATCTTGGCTCACACAAGTAGTCCCAGCTCCTTGGGAGGCAGAGATCTGGAGGATTGTGGTTTAAGGCCAGCCCAGGCAAAAGTTCACGAGACCCCCATCTCAATCAATAAAAGGTGGGTGTGTCAGAGCACATCTGTCATTCCAGCTACATGGGGAGCATAAATTAATAGTCCAGACTGGCCCCAGCATAAATGTGAGACCCTATTCAAAAAACATCTAAAGCAAAGAGGGCTAGGAGCATGACTCAAATGGTAAAGCACCTGCCTTCCAAGCACAAGGATCAAAGTTCAAACCCCAATACCACAAAAAAAGAAAAAAAGAAAGCATACCTAGAGGAAAGTACATTGAGATTACTAGTACAACACAGCAAACCCATGTGACCCAGAACATGCACACAAACCTTCCCACTCCAGTCACAGGCCCACCTCAGACAGGGACCTCCATCTCATTTCAGGAGCACCTGCTCCCTGCTCTTGGTTTTATCACTTACATTACATTTGCATATAATACCTCTTAACTTTATGTAACTGAATCAGACACTGTGGCCCATGTCTTCCTTCCTTCACTCAACATCTCTTCTGTAACGTTCACCTTCCATGTAGCTATTATTTTTAAACAAAGGTCACCACCTGGGCCATAGGATTGTAGGCCTTCCTTTACAGCAGGATAATAAAGACTAATAAACTGGCTGTTTAGCAGTATTACCACTCATTTGTTTCAATTTTAAGTAAAATTCATTACTTTTTAAACATAGAGAAGTTCAAAATTCTTAATCAAATAATCTCCCTGACCTGGCTCAGCAAGAAACAGCTTACAGGTCAAATTGACCCCAACACCTCGTTTTGTATGGCTTCCAAACTAAGAATGACTTCTACATTTTTAAACTTTTTTAATCAAAAGAAAAAGATTTTGTGATATATAAAAGCCAAGTAAAGTTCAGATTTTAGTGTACAAGACTGGGGGAATGGCTCAAGTGGTGAAGTGTGAGGCCTGAGTTCTAACAGTAGTAAGGAGCAGGGACAGATTAAGTCTTCATAAATAAATCTACTGCAACAAGAGCATGCTCAGGCCACGTGCGGTGCATGGCTGTCTTCGCTTCACAATGGCAGAGCTGAGCAATAAAGACCTCAGGGCTGCTCGGCCAATGAGGAGGTCTGCAGCCTTCCCTAAACACCAGGAGAACTGCCAGCTGTAAGGGAGATTTGGAAAGCAATACCAGAGTTCCATAGCTGCCAAAGTATTCCTCATCTTGCCAGGTATCCTCAGGATCGTACTCTTCCATCTGCCTCCCGACATGGTTCGCAGGTATGTATCCACAGCAGCCTGCACGCTCACCCCACCACCAGTCAGCTGTGGTTTGCCTCAGGATAAGAATTTTTTCTCCTCTCAAAAAACTGAGCTGGAAAACAAGAAGCAAAACAGTTGGAAGTTAGGACTCAATAGAGATCCCAGTAACTGAGAACTCATCAGTGATTTACTGAGTGGTAAATCCCCATCACTGGTGACCAAACCAGACTTCAGGAGTCAGCCTGTGATTACAGCAACTGACAACTTTACGAACTTGACAGCAGGATTTGGACTGTGATGAAGCATCCATCTGAAAGGGCTGCACAGCCTAGGGGGCACTTTTTAAAAGAAAGAGTAAATATTTTCAAATGACACAGGACAAAACTCATCAGCAGCCCTCCACCACACAGCTATGTAGTGGCTGTTAGCTCATGGGGTCCTGTTACACTTGAGTAGACACTTTCATTGACACCTTTTGCTTTCCTAACCTGGAGGGTTCTACAGCAAGGTCTCCAAGGCAGACATGAGAAGGTGCTTATTCCACTGGCTGGGCTGAGGACTGGGTCCTCATCCAGGCACTTTTGCCTCCTGCTGGGGAAGGTAGAATACAGGTCCTGTTGTCTAAACATCTGAACACTTCTTTACTTTGGTGTGACATTGCAAAATGGACATCTAATTTTGTCATCAAACATTTTAAATTTGTAAGTCACAGGCTGCAAAGTGTGGCTACCTGAGTCTCATCGGTGGCAGCATAGTCTGCGATGGCCACAAACTCCTCAGGCTGTGGCTGTGACTGCACACCCTCCTGCAGGAGCTGCACCTCACTGCCATAGTCCATGGGCTCTTCCTCCTGCCCTCCGCCAAGAAGACACAGGACAACACTGTGAAGCTCTGTTCTCTCCTCTCCCCCTTCTCCCTCTTCCCTCCCTCCCTCCCTCCCTCCTCCACTCTTTCAGATAAAGACTGAACTTGGCCAAGTTTTTATTATGCAAATGTATTTACTAGAATAATTGAAGGCTATCGCTTTCACTCCACCTTTACATTTCTAATGTAGGATGATTTGCGTCTTAAAAAGAATGTCAACAAAATAAATCAGAAAGGGGCCCTTTTAGGACCCTAATGCTTCCAGAGTGATAAATCAGCCAGTGAGAAAGACACCATTGGGTGTCAGGCTCTGGAGACCTCTTCACACCTGAGGATACAGCTGGGCCCAGAATCCCAAGTGAGGACAGCAAGGGCCTATAAAAGGTCCTGGAGACTTGGCATAAACCTCCACAGAAATCGACAGAGTCCCTGCCCTGTGCCCCAGTACCACCTTCTATCAGAACCAGTCTGGGAGATATGCACTGGAGGTGGCAAGCTACTCTCCAGTTCAATGAAGCAACCCTATCCCAACATGTATATCCTAAACAAAATTTTCTAAACATACAAGCAATTTATATTCACTTTAGGAAATGTGTGAAAGCACAACAGAACAAAGAAAATTAAAACACCCTATAACCTCATTCTCAGCTTAGAGACAATCAACACTTTGCTGTTCATCCTTTCAACATTTAAGTGCACATGACCACACACATAAAGCATTTGTTGGGTTCAAACTGCTACCCTATGACCTGTTTCTCACTTCCTAATTCTGATTTCCCCTCATTATTCAATATACTTCTGAACACATTTTTGATACCTGTGTATCAGAACTTATTTATCCAATCTCCTAGCTTCATACAGACCTTTTGCAGTGTTTTGTATTATAAATTATGTCAAGATGAAGTCTGTCACACATGAACCACTCTGCATTTCTTAGGATAAATTCATGAGCATGAAACTGAACCACCACCTAATGCCCTCAGGATGCCTCAGACGCCCTGGAGGCAGTGGCAGTGGTTTTTGTCACTTTCATCTCTGCCAATCGACAGTAAAAATTACTTTTGTTGCTTCAGTTTTCCTTTGTTGCGTAGTCAGGCATGTTTTTCTATGTACTTATTGGTTGTATATTAACTGTTCCTTTTTCCTGTTGCAGTAGCATAGCTTGGCAGTGTGTTCCCTCAGCTTGCTCTCCTCCCCATCCCTTCCTACTCCCTTCATCCCCTCCACCTCCCAGAGCGAGCAGTAGCGACCACCTGGTGTGTTCCCTTCTACCCTGGCTCCATGCTCACATCACACACACCTGTGTGTCTGCGTTCTCACTCACACAATGGATTCTTTTTTCTTTTGACATAGCTTTTTGTATAAAGAATACCTTAAGACCCCCTTTTATTTTTGTTTTTCTTACATAGTATCTTGTGGGAAACTCTTTTACTATGTTCAATGACTGCAATATTCTGTAGAATAGTGAATTCTACTTGATTCTTCAGCCATCCTCTACTGATTTGCTGTATTTTATACACCATAAACAATGCTGCAACAAAAACTTGTGCACATGTATCCTTATGTGAAGACATTTTATTTCTATGGGACAGGCTGCCAGGCTTGAAGGATAAGTTCACTCATGTCAGCTTCTTCCCACATAGAATGTGGCACAGCAGTGGGCGGGGGGCTCTGTCTGCACTCTCAGTGGCCCCAGCATCATCCCTGCGTCCAGTGCAGGTGACCCATGTAAAGTGGCATCTCAGCTATTTAGTTTCAATTATTTGATTATCACATTTTCATGGTTTTTCTGGTTGTTTGGATCTGCTCTTCTGTAAAAGGCTTCTTTATTTTATTTGACTATTTGTCTCCTGCTTTTCAAACTGAAAGAACTCTTTGCATAATACAGATCTTATTTGCGATCTTGAACAAATGTTTCTCCAAATCTTTTTTCTAGTTATTTCATTTAGAACCAGCCGAAGCACAAAAATGAAAAAAAATGGGCACAGGGATGTAATGTGTGAAACAGTGGCAGGAAATCTGATGCCTAAGCACAGTCCCAAAATGAGAGGAGATGAGGCAGGAGAAATAACTACAGAAATAATGGTAGAAAATTTTCCAAAATTAACAGAAAATATCACAGATTTAAGTTTGCTAATCCCAGGTAGGACTAATACACAGAACTGAAAAGAAAAATGAAGGATGAGAAGAGTTCAAACGAAGCCAGCAAGAAGAGTCCACTGCCCTCGTTACAGTGAGAAGCGACTAGCTGCCTCCCATCAGCATCTGATTAAGAACAAAAGGTGACAAGAAAACTGCAAGTCTAAAACTCCTCAAGTTAATGTATTCTCAAAAACAAAGACAAAACATATTCTCACTCAAACCAAGGTTAACATAATTTCACATGACAACCCACACTAACTATGAAAACAAGTTGCCTACCTGGAAACTAAGAATGCAGGAAGACAGGAATGGGTGAAAGCATGGGGAGAAGCCAGAGACTTCTTGTGTTTTATCAGAAAGGACTGTGATTGTGAATCATCTACTCTTGGGCAATGACACAGGGAGAATTAAAATACATTGTAAGAGGACAAAAATGTGAGAGGTGGAAAATGGATATACACAATAAAATTGGAAAAAAAAAAGACTAGGATATGGTAACACATATTCTGCAATTTATTTAGAAGCCACTAACATAATAGAAAAGGTACAATTAAGCCAATAAAGGAGATAACATGAAATGTAAAAATGTTTTATTAATCCAAAAGAGGAAAGAATGGAAATGTACAAAGAAATGTGATAAATAGAAGACAACAGTCGATGTTAAACTGAATTATATCTTTCGTTACATTAAATGTTAATGGACTAAAATACTCCAATTAAAAGGCAGAAATTGTCCAACACCAAAAAAACCTTAGAGCTAGACCCAAGCAGCTCTTCATAAAAGAAATCCTTTAAATCTAAGGACCTAAACAACACACACACACACACACACACACACACACACACACACACACACCATGCAAGCACTAACCCTAAGAAAGCTGGCACACCTAAATTAACATTAATTAGAATTTTAAAAAATACAAGTATTTATTAGCAGATACAGAAATCCTTCATAAAAACACCATTAATCTAAGAAACAATCTAAAATATAGCCTAAATATATGCAGACAATAATAAGGATTCAAATTAAGAGTGACAAAACCAAAAGGAAAGACAGGCAAGTCCACACCTAAACTCGTCCTCAGTAACTGGCAGAATACATAGACAAATGCCAGAAAAGAGAGTGGTCTGGACAATACTAATCACCCATTTGGCCTCAGTGATATTCACAGAACATTGTGCCCAGAAAGTACAGAAGGCATAGAGAACCCTCAGGAAAACGGCTCACTGAACAAGGCTATAAGCAGCCCTGTCAAAGGCACGTCATGCTCTCTAACCAAAGGTCCGCACATCAAACTAAGCAACTAAATGGTAGGTAAATTTCGGAAGTATTTCAAAAATCAAGCATGACAATTCCAAACAGTCCAGAAAATGTGTAATTACATTAAAAATATTCTAGTTATAATGAAAATACAGTGCATTTAAAAGTGTGAGATACAGAAAAAAATGTGATTAGAGGAAAAGTTACAGCTTTAAAGGCAAAAGTTAGAGAAGACTTAGTATCAGTAATTCAGGTTTCCATTTGAAGATGTTACAAGAAAGAAAATTAAATCCAAAAAGAATAGAATGAAGGAAAGCTGGGCCTGGTGGTTCATGCCTGTAATCTCAGCACTCAGGAGGCTGAGGCAGGAGGATCACGAGTTCAAGGCCAGCCTGGGCTACACAGTGAGAACCTGTTCCCCAAAATAAAACAACAACAGAAAGAATAGAATTAGTAGACATCAAATAGAAAACAAGAGAAACTCAACAAAGGCAAGATTGGTTCTTTAAAAAGATAAAGCCAACTCACTCTAAAAAGACTAATTAATGGAAAAAAGGGATGAAATACAGATTACCAGCATCTTCTGTAACATGGGGTGGATTTTACCAGGATTAGTGAAATACTACCAAGACTTACAAGTGATGAGAAAAATGAAAATAGCAAGATACCACTGTAACCCATCCAAATGACTGAAATTAGAGCCTAATGGTCTCAAGTATTATGAGGTATTATGATGGTCTTCTGCAGACCTATGACCTGGAATAAACAATTGCCATCCAGTAAATAACACACACAACCCTTCCATCTGCAACACCAGCAAGGGGCCTGTTCCCTCAGCACTTTAGGAGTCAGCGCTTACTGCAGTGCTGTGAGGTTGAAGACACTGCAACACCTAAGTGTCCAACAAAACGGAGACAGAATGTGTACACCTACTGCACAGTGGGAGGACTACACAGGCCTACATGTTCACATAACAGCTACAGAGGTCCCAGCAGTAGTAGGGCTGACTAGCACCACATACAGACAAGGCCAAATTCCCAAAAGTACAGCTGCAGTGACACAAAGTGATGTCACGTATGCAAACTTTAGAACGCACACACACTATATCATGCATCGTTCAATGGTGTCTTCAAGGCACAAATGTGTAAAGAGCATACAGAAGTACACACACCAACTTTGTAATTCACACTTGTGTTTGCTTCTGGAGAAAGAAAAAGGAATGGGTCTGAGTTTGGAGAACCATCCGGTCTTGTTACTTTACATGTGTGTTCTGGGGCAAATATGAGAGAAAATAGTCAACTCTGTAAGATGTGCACTTGGTACCTACAATATTATTCTGTAAGTGACCTAATATTTAAGTTTCTCAAAAGAAAAATAGGACATCTGTGGAATTAAAACATTGTGGCCAATTATAGGAAACAGATTAATGAAATAAGCCAGCTATAAATAAAATTCCTATATATAAAAACCCAGTTAGAGTAGAAAACCATTAGGATGAAAGGAAAGGGAAAAAATGCTAAGGCTAACATCACAGACATGAAAGTGTTTGATTTTTTAAAACATTTTTATTAGAATATTCAGTTGGTTAGTGTACATAATCAACACCTCCTTAAAATCTGACTTTCCTTTACTACTGAGTGAAACTCTGTTTACCATGCAGAAAGCAGTGTGAAAACATGGGTCTTTTCTAGCACCTAGCTGCCTTCAGCATCTTGCTGGCCCCATGTCTGGCACTTTACTAAAAGCCAAGAACCAGCTCAGGCCCAAAAAGTGTAACCTGGAGACCATGATGTGTGGGGCACCCTAAGGATTTTCCTAGAAGTGTTCACAATGCCAGCCAGCTTGGCACCTCATGCTTACAGACTTTCATTCCCCTGCCTTGCTGGTCCCTAAAATCAAGCATTCTTGAATGGTGTTGACAGCCACCCTTTGAGGGACAAGGAAAGCTGCATCACACCCGTGCACTGATGCTCAGCTCTCTGCCCTGTTCACTTTGGTTAAACACAGGTTCTTACGTACCAGGACCGAGATGACCTGCGATTCACTTCTGGGACAGTCACCTGGTGTCGCCATAGTTCTCTTAGGCTCTGCCTCATAACTGCTGCTTTTATTATTTCATTTCCCCTTCACATCTACTTTAAAACAGAGAAAGAAAAACACAAAATGCTTGTTATGCTGTTTCATAATTAAATTCACTTCACTTCTAAAGCCCACGATAAAGGTCCTCTACCAAATAACAGTAAAATGTGAAGAATGGGATAGAAATGGATTTTACTGTCACAATCTTTCAGAAGTTAAAAGCACTTAAAAATTATAAACTTCAAGCCGGGCACCAGTGGCTCACACCTGTAATCCTGGCTACTGGAGATGCAGAAATCAGGAGGATCACAGGGTACGGTTTAAAGCCAGCCCAGGGAAACAGCTCATGAGACCTATTGAAAGTATCCAACAGAAAAAAAGGCTGGTAGAGAGCCTGTGTAGCAAGTGTGAGGCCCGGAGTTCAAACTCCAGTACTGCAAAAAAAAAAAAAAGCCTTTCAGTTTCTGATAGGTCACAGTGTTGATTGACAACAATAAACCAGTATCAATTGCTTTTTGTGGAACTCCCGACAGCTTCAGTTACAATTAAAATTCCCTGCCAGAAGCCAGGCCTGGTGGTAAACGCCTGCAATCCTAGATACTCAGAAGGCAGAGTTAAGAGGATTGCAGTTCAAGGACAACCCCAGGTAAAAAATTACCAAGGCCCTCTCTCAACAAATAAACCAGGAATGGTAGCAATACCTGTGGCCCCAGCTACAAAGGAGGCAGAGGTAGGAGGATTAAGGTCTGAGGCAATCTCAGGCAAAAGCCTCTAGCTTTTCCCTATGTGAAACAAACTAAAGCAATTTCTAAAAAAAGGGCTAAAGGTGTGGCTCAAGTGGTAGAGGACTAAGCTCAAGGCCCTGAGTTCAACTCCCCCCACCATAGTAAAAAATGAAGATAAATAAAATTCCCTGCCTGGCACTTGTCTTTTTCTCGAAGAGGGGGGCGGGGGGGGGGGCAGAATAACCCTATCCCACTCTGGGATGAATGTTTTCAATTACACAGCAATTCTTTGTTTAAAATGTATGCTTCCTTCTGAATCAAGATCAGATACTTATTTTTGTGATCACTGTAATTAGAAATATTTACTAATTTACATACATTACATCTTCGATGGGAAGCCTGGAGCCAGGGTAGGATGGGACTCCTGCGGGACAGGGACTGCACAGGACAATGCTGTGGGCGTGGCCCTGTGGACGTGGCCGGAAGGAGCCCTGCAGGGGGAGGTGGGCGTGGCCCTAGGAGGGCGTGGCCCTGGGACGTGGCTTTGAAGCTGGGGGTTTGAGCCCGGCGCTAGGGAAGAGGAGGGGGGAGCTGAAGAAGGGGCGGGGCACTAGGGAAAGGTAGGGCTGAGTGGGGCTCGGGGGAAGGGCGGAGTGACTGGGGGGTGAGGGACTAGGGAAGTGTGGAGGGGCGGGGAGCCGGGGTAGGGCGGGAGGACTGCAGGGCTGGAGAAGGGGCGAGGGATTGGGGGCTGCGCGTCGGAGAAGGGGCGGGGTGAGGGAGTCGCCGAGCTCACGGTCAGCAGGCTGCATGGAACCGACGCCCGCAGAGAGGGTGCTCACAGGTCTCAAAAAGGGGCGGGGGCCTGAGTACGCCAGCAACGTACACGCATGATAAGGACTCCTAGCCAGCATATCCTGCCTCATCTGCGGCCCAGCCGCCTGAGATGGTCATCAAGAAACCTACCTCGGCCGCGTTCCTCCGCTGAATTCTACATCTACACCGCGGAGGGGCGAACGCTGCCTACCAGGAATCTGAGCCACCGCCCTCGACCCGCGCAGGCGCAGTGTGCGCAGGCCGGCCGAAGAGCAGGCCCCGCCCAGAGCTCGGTGTCCGGCGCAGGCGCAGGCGCAGTCCACACGCGCCTGCTGACGAAGCGAACCACTGCGCAGGTGCAAAGTGCACGGACCTGCCAAAGAGAAGCTTCAGCCCAGGGCCTGCCGCCCCGCACAGGTGCACTTCACGCCCACGCCTCCCACCCTCACAAGAGTAGTAACTCGGAGTCGTCTGGGCTCCGCCTCAAGGCTCGGGCGGGCGAGGGGGTTACCGGAAGAGGTCCGGCCGGCGAGGGGCTGGGGGGCTAGGCCGCCATTGGGGAGAGGCTGTCTCCGGGGAGGGGTTCGGGGATGGGTTCTCTTTGGGGCGGAGCAGGGAGGGGTCTTCTCCCGGGAGGGGCTGTCTCCGGGGAGGGACACGTGACGCAGGGGAGCAGCCTTTCGCTTGGACCCCGTGTGGTGACCGGCCACCTTCTCGTAGGCGAGGCCCCGGAAGAAAGGACTGCCACCCACGCGGGGAGCTCTGTGGGGCTGGGTGTGTAGACTGCAGCATGTCTGGTGTAGACAGCTGGTTCTAGCCGACAGCACCTGGTTCCACCGATGGCACAGATCTCCGAGCCCAGGGCAGCGGCTTTCTAGGCAGGAAGAGATGGACGGTCCAGTACCGACCTGCTAAGGTCACCGTCCCAGCTACAACTGGGCTGCTGGGGTTTGGTGTCATCTCTGCCCTCCTGCTTTCTCTGAAGGTCAGATAACCCAGTTTTGAACTGCGACTCTGAGCCAGCTCGAGGAAGCTTTGTGCTGTATCTCTATCCAGCAGTTTCACCTGCGGTGTTTGTCCTCGTGTCAACAGAAGCACAAAGAACAGGTGATATCCCTCCCCTCCCCGCCCCATCACAGTACCCCTGCTGAAGCCAAGGCCCACCACAGTCCCCAGACCCTGCAGATTCTTGGCGCTGGGGAGGACACACAGGCCCAGACAAGCCAGAGAAACCTTGATGCCAGCTGGGCTAGAACATCGTAGGGTGGAAATGAAAAGGGCCTCACAGCTAGACCTAACAGTGTCCTCCCTTGAGATGTTTGCCCCATTTTGTTCCATCAGATGACAGCCACAGCGCAAAGCCAGAACTCCATAGGCTGAAATGGATCTCCTAAGTCTCTCAGCTGAGGAAGCTCCTCAGTCAGAAGCCTGGGAGCAGCAGGCTGGGCACAGCGCAGAATGGACCAAGTCTTGGGAAACCAGCAGGTACCCCCAGCCCAGTCCTGGGACCCTTAGGATCAGCCCCTCAAAGCCTGATAGAGGAAAGGGCCCCTTACTGGTAGAGGGTAACTTCTGGAGCTTGGATAAATCTTTTAGGCATGAATCCCACATACAATAAAAGATATTACTAGGCATGTGAAGAGCAGAAAAATATGAGCCATAATCAAGAGACAAGGACTTAAATAAGAGGTCATGTGTTAAAACTCTTTAAGGAAAAAGTGGACAAAATGGGCATAAAATGGGAAAGTCAATAGAGGATGGAAACATATTTTTTAAAAGTCAAACGGATAACCTCAGTTGAACTCATGTAATACCTGAAATGACAAACTCGTTGGATGGTAGACCGGACAAAGCAGAAGCAGGAACAGAGTCCAGACCATCCTAGGAGTTCACCTAACCTATAACACAGGCAAGAGAAATGAACTTAAGAATCTGCTGTTGGACACCCAAAAAGAGGCAAGAGAGGTTGAAGCAAAAATATTTAAGTAGGTCAAGCACTGGTGGCTCACACCTGTAATCCTAGCTACTCAGGAGGTAGGGATCAGGAGGATCACACAGTTCAAAGCCAGCCTGGGGCAAATAGTTCCCCAGGTCCTATCTCAAAAATACCCAACACTAAACAGGGCTGGTGGAATGACTGAAGTGGTAGAGCACCTGCCTAGCAAGCAGTAGGCCCTAAGTTCAAACCCCAGCACCACCAAAAAAAAAAAAGGAGAAATAGCTGAGAGTTGTCCTAAGTTCACTAAAATCAAAGCAGAAAAGCAGAAACACACAAACCCACACATAGTAAAACTTTGAAAGTCAGTAACAGTCAGTGAGAATACATTCATTTTCAGATGAACAAAATCAGGGAATCTGGCACAGCAGACCTGTGCTAAAGGAAGTACCTAAACAGAAGGAAGTCAGAATCCCAGAACTGCAGGAAGGAGAGTACTAGAAAGTGTAAGTGCATATGTATAGTTTTAAAATGCCCCTTAAATTGATGATAATTATAACTTGGGAGATTTGTAGTGTGTAGAGATGAACCACATGCCAACAGCAGCACAAAGAGCAAGGGGAATAAGAGATTCAACTGTTGTAGGTGCTCTGTCTCTACTAGCAAAAGTATTGTAATAAATAGGCCAGAGTGCACACCACAATCTCACAAAAATACAATGATGCCAGCAAAACTAAAAAGAATAGAAAAATGAAGTATTTAACAAAAAAGAAGGTGGTCAGGGAGGTTAAAAGAGCAATGAATAGATGGGACAAAGGGAAAACCCATCTGTATTTGTAATAATGATAAATGTAAAGTAGAAAGCATGCCAGTTTTTTAAACTACTGATTTTTTTTTTAGCCATTTACCTAGATGCTGTTAAGAAATTAAGCTTTAAATATAATGAAACATTTTAGTTGAAAGTAAAAGAGTAGAAAAAACTATACCTCACCAATATAAACCATACTAGTATTTTAAAAAGCTGATTTTAAGGCAAATATTGCTAAAATAAAAGAATTATTTCATATAATAAAAAGTCAACTCAATAGAAAGATATAACGTTCCTAAATCTCTATGGAGACTTTGCAGTATAGCTGCAAAATATATAATCAAAAATTGGCTTAAATGGCTTAAGAAAGAATGGAAGAGGGTGACTTGGTTTCCTTGTGGTTAGGGCTTAGGACCAGGGAAAGGGTTGTGTGCCCACACAGGTGGGACTTATGTGATCTGAACTTCACATGGACCCCAAGGAAGGGAGTGTCTGGCTTTTTAAGAAAACAGATTGTAGAAAAGGGTTGAGAGCTGGATACTGCCAGTGGTTGAACCCTTTTCAGCAGTGCCTTTAGTGCTCTCCTTGAGTAGACAAGACCCATGACTTGCTTTGAAATCTTATATGATAGGTGACGCTGTCACTTTTGTGGTATAAGGAGACTCTCTTACTGGCTTTGGTAAAACTAGTGGCCTCACTGAGGATATCACCATGGCAAAGACCATCTAGGGAAGCTTCTAGGGACTCATGAGGCTAACAGGCAGTAGCTAGCTGGACCTCAGTCTAAACCACAAGAAACTGAATTCTTCCAGCAACCAGCTGTCAGTCTGCTCAACTGCCATAACAAAATACCACAGGCTGAGTGACTTACCCAGTGAACACTTGTGTTCTCAGTTCTGGAGGCTGGAAGTACATAATCAGGGCTCAGTAAATTAGGTTTCTGCTGAGGCCTGCCTTCGTGGCAGTGTCCTTACATGGCCTTTCCTCTTTGTATACAGACACTGGTGTCTGTTCCTTTTCCTTTAAAGGCTCCAGCCCTATCAGATCATGCCTTCACCTTTAGGGTGTCATCAAACCTGAAGATCTTATTTCCAGACACAGTCACATTGGGGATTACCTCAACATAGGAATTGGGAGGGAAAGCATACTTCAGTCCATAAAATATCCACCTATCTTACAGCCCAGAGAAAACTCCAAGGTATTTGTCCAAGAATGTTTATGGCAACTTTCATTATGATAGTAAAAACAACTGGTAACTTCAAACTTCAATCAACAGGAATATAGGCACACAAATTGTGATTTATTCATGCAATGGAATACTACCCAGGGACTTTTTTTTTTTTAAAGAATTTATACTGGCAAGAGCATTCCCAGCTTGGACTTTTAGTCGAAATTGAAACAAGGCCTCTTGCTACCCCCAACTTCCTCATGCTGAGGAGCCACCTCTCTGTAAACGCTGTTGTGTTTTGAATAACATGGACTCCCTCCCGCTGATAGTGAAGAACAATGGGGTGGGAGGCCCCTCTCAGAGCTAGTCAGGCTCTAACCAAAGAGTATTTCCTGCACCCAGGCTGGAGGAACCTTAGATTACTCATCTGCAGGATTTCAGAACAACTGTAGGTAGAGACCACCTGGTGCTTTGTTTGCCTCCATTCCCATTTTCCAAGGCCACCTCCCTTGTGCCTCCCTATGTATCTATGCAGTGTGTGGAGGAGGCACAGACAACTTGTGTTGTTAGCTCCCAGGTCTCTGGCACAAGAAGAGATTTGCTGAGAAGCCCTTGCTGCTTTCAGGACTGGTTTAAGTCATTAGATCCCAGGCTTCAAGCCTGATGCCAAGATAGGTAAGATTTTTGGAGGTCCTGGTATGGGTAAGTGTTATATGTTTGAGGCATACAAGTATTTTTTGACCAAGGAACCAACTGTGAGAGACTGCAAAAATGAACATTCTGCTCGCAGCTTTTCCCAGCAAGAGTCTGGGCTGGGCAGAGATTTGTGTAAGTAGCAAAAGTAATTATGTTGAGGGTTCAAGGGCATGAGTTTCCATTCACGTACTCCTAATCTTGTACTACCATGTTCTAACAAGAATTTCAAAGAAGAAGAGGGCTCAGAGGAAAGCTTGAACCCAGGGCCCCGTCAGGAAGATGTGGTCTCAGGGTAACAGTGAAGCTAAGGGTGGGGCTGTAAAACTCCTGAACCAAGATTCAGAAATATTTAACTGGAGGCCTCACAGGCCCTATTAGATGGGCAAAAGGACTTCTGTGGAAGTACCCCTCAGTCCCTCCTTATTAAATAAACATTCTAAGAATCTTAGAATCTAAAACTCTGTCCCACGACATCCTTACAAGAAGCCAAGACCAGCAAAGACCCTGTTTAAAAGAGATTCAGGGTGTGTATTTTGTTTAATGGAGTGAACATCAATAAAATTCATAGAAAACTCACAAACTTTTGAGAGTCATACACCAGCTTGGACTAAAAGGACCAGAGGAGACAGTACAAAACAAAAAGAGGCTTTTGAACCCCCAAATTCCAGCTACAGGCTGGTAAAACTACTCAGCTACAATGTGGGTTACGTTTTGTGGAGAATGACAACGTGAAGTCCACAAGGCAGAATCAGAACCCCGGGGAATCTGCTGAGGGATCAATAGACGAGAAAGAGAAGGAGGTTCCTGAAATTCCCCTCTGTTACAACCAGCCTGTAAGGAAAGACTGTGACCAAAGTTGTGACCAAACACAGTGGGCTTCTATCCTGGTAAGTGCAAAACCAAAAAGCATGGCCAGGAGATAGGAGAAAGATTTATTACCAACTACAGGTAAGGAGAGCACACTTCTGAAAAGGCTCAGTCTTTCCAAAAACATTTTGGCTAAAACAAAAGGAAAGGCCACTGAAAGTGCATTAACATAGGACTTTGCCCTGAAAGGTGCTTGCCTCACTCAGGGGATAACAAAGTAGCTCAGCAGGACTTCAGCAGCTGGATCTGAAGAGCTCATGCAGCTTCTTGGCCCTAGTGGGATGCCTGAGGGAGCATTCTGAGGGAAGCAGTCTCACAGCCTTCCACACACAAGTGAGGTCACCATGGACCCTCCAGACCAACTCAAGCACCAGCTGAAAGCCACCAGTGACCCCAGTTGACACAATCCTAACTTACAGAACTTGTGGGAGCTAATATTTTGTTTTGTTTTCAGTCATGTTTTGGAGTAGTTTGCAGCAGTAGCTCTGGAATATTCTGTCATGTGAGAAGTATCTTTCGTATGTGTGTGGTCCAGGGAATGTAAAGTCACTGATGCTGGAGTTCTGACCACTTCTTAATAGTCAGCTGTGAGCAAAAACACTTCTAAATGGAGGATTTATGATAGATTTTTA